AGAGCGAGACAGAGACAGAGAGAGAGAGAGAGAGAGAGAGAGAGAGAGAGAGAGGGAGAGAGACCGAAAGAATGGAGAAGAACAGAGACGACGGCAATCGTGGGAGTCAACTGACCAAGCTGCTGCCATTCAGCATCTCTGATGCTATGTCTTCCTTCCTGGCGGCACTGCCAGGAACGCGTACATCACTCGAGGACAAGCAGCTCCATACAGCTTTGCGCTGTCTGGCCTATCACTGCCGGTAACCCCGACATGCCTCAAACATACCGACAGATCTCAGTGCTGACTTCGACAAGGTATCTGCAGTCGCTCCACTCTAGTGCGCCAAGAGCTGCTGAATCAAGATGTGCATCCGGACACTTACCTGAGAAACCAAGGTGCCTGTTGGACAGGTTGTCAGTCAAAGTGGACTCTTCCAGAAACTCTTCGGAGGCATTGATTGCTTCCGCGATGTAGGAGTTGGTATGCGGAACTTCGGTCTCGTTCCAGTCCTGGGTGTATGAGGGGGCAGTCGGGAAGATGTCTTCCTGCTCTTGCTAGAATTTTCTGGTAAATGAACATGCGCTGCCAGCAACACACTCCAGCGCAGGGACGATAACAGCAAAAACAACTACATCTCCCAGCAGTTGACGCCTCGGAACAGCCCGAACGTGCCCACTAATACCTGCGATTTGAACCACAAGGTTCAGACTCGGACTGGGACCGAGTTCTCTACTCTGACTGCAAACCAAGATTCAGGTTCGCTGCCTCTCAAGTCATGGAAGATATTCTGACCATGTCTCAACGAGAACGCTGAAGGAGGAGCTCAGGCAAGCTTCTATCAGACAGGCATTGTTGAACATCTCACGCCATTAAAGGAAGCTGATGCTACTTCAACAAGGCACACAGACAAATTGTAACACCAAGATGCTTCCGCTCGAAGCTGTGGTCTTGTTCTCTTCCATCCTCCGATTCGAGCCCGCATTGTCTGATTTACCTATTAGAATGAATAGAGGTTGCTGTATATTATAGACTAATGAATAGTATCAGGCATAAGTAGCTCCGATGCCAATATAATGTGCATGGCTTGCAGCTCACACGACACGGTGCAAAGGGATGAGCAATGAAACACATGTTAGCCACCAGCAACACTTCTGCCATCACTGTGGGGGAACAATAAAGATCAAGGAAACATAATAATAATCATTTTGTATCACGTATACTGCCAACGGGGCCATAAAAGATATCGGACTTGTAAGGAAGATACCAGCAAGATGTAGGACTTAGGAGGAAGATATCTAGGAATCCCAAACTGAATGGAAATTCAGTTGCGTCATCACTTCTAGCGAGGGAGTTGCACATCGACAACAACCCCAGTAGATGCTGGATTCTGATCCTGACCTATCCAGGAACACGAGTGGATGGATACGCTTGGTTTGCTGGGATGCCGGCATTTGGGGTATGTTTTCACATGTATGGGCTGTTTGGGACAGTTTCAAGGAACCAATCCCAAACTAGACGCTGGCTTCCCAGCGATCCAGAAACAGATGGAACTCCGATCAATCCAAACGAACAAACAGATAAAACCTTTTCCGTCTTACTGGCACATCCAGGGGCACTTTCTTACTTTCACCTTCAACATCCGCCTGTATACAGATTATTCGCAGGCAAGCGGCCACATTGATGTGGTTGAGGTCGACGCCGCACTGGAGTTGTACTCGCTAGAGTTCTGCTCACTCGCGGCATCAATGGCCGAGTTCTCTGTGAGTGAGCTGTTCGTGTCAGCTCTTGTGGCCGACACACCGGAGGTCGAAGATGTTGCCACAAAGCCCGACCTTGCAGCAGAGTGCGGCCTAGTAAATTGTACAAAGTGAGTAGGGGATTGCGGCTTGTAGTAGTCCTGCGACGTGTGGAGCTGAATGCATGCATCAGAATCCAGCAATCCAGAATTTACCTTTTCCCATGGGAGCTCCGCCGCTCCAATCCGAGAATATGTTACATGTTTTGAGCAGCCACGAACCAGTGCGAACCATCAAAATGCAGGGAAGGCACGGCGGCATTGTCGTCGTCATAGTGGCAATTTGTGAAGCTGTCTCATTAACAGATGTCACCTGCCACAAACACAAGCCTTCTGCACGAAATCCCTACTTCAGCTGCGGGACCTCCGCCAATCGAGCGAAGGATCTGGTGGCCAAGCTGCTGTGCATCCTGTCGGGTCTACAATCATTGTCATGCTGGATGCTGCTGTGAGCCAGTTCGAAGCAAGTCGCTCAGCCGGCCAGGTGGATGTTGTGGACGTTTTGGCGCTATACAATGTGGATGTGGTATAAGTCTGCTCGCGCAGAATTGCCTCACAGCCACAGCGGGGAACATGCAGCAAGCAATGCCTGTGGAGAGCCCATATGAACGAGTGAGGACGTCCCTGCAAACAATCTCGAGCGGCGAGGAAGAGAGAGGTGCGCCTCGAACAGTAATGTTCAGGAGATGATGGAACGGTATTTCAGAGACCGGGTCTCCCTTAAAGTTTGCCTGGCAGTGAACAGACACTTGTACGGGCATTTTGCATCCCTGTGGTGCTAGAATATATCGCCGAAATCCCCTGAGCCACCTTGACTTGTGTAAGCACACGATTCAATGAACAGTTACGCAGACGGCACTCGAGAAGCTTGAAAAAATCAACACCCAGTGCACCCTGGGCTGTGCTGATTTCATGCAAGTTTCTGAATCAGTGGTTTGGCGCAGATTCCGCCAAAAGTCAACATAAGAAGCCTCAGCTCACAGGCATAACGGTTGTGGCCTGCAGCTGTAGGGCAGCCTTTCGTGTGTGCTTGCAGCGTCCGTCACCTTGGGCCCTTCATGGTGCTTCTGGTTTAATTCGGGCTCGACCAGTCTTGCATTCTGATGTAATTATGTGGTGCTTGGTCGGTGCTGCACTGAGCAGCCCAAATGCTCAGCGAACCGCATCATCCTTTGCACATTTCGTTGATTGAATTCGACAAACAACGAAAACAAGCCTCCACCCCCCTTTCACTCTCCACCAGGATCCGACCATCCGAACTTTTCAAGCTGAACTCAGAACATGTACACCAGAGTCGCACAGGAAAAAGATGGTTTTCATATTGGGCTCCTGTATCGAGTCCCTAAGCCTTCACTGACCTTGTACCCCAAGCGATGAAGCCTAAAGGCCTAAATCAATGGTTTCCGACATCCACCGAGATGGAGCTGAGATTCGATACCGTGGGACTCGGCAAGTCCGGCGCGCCTAAGTCTTCGAGAATCCGCTTGGGGCTTTGAACTTGCGGCTTTTTAGGGTCTTGCAGCCGCTCAGGCTTGATGGCTTCGGGTTGGGCCCTGTTTTTGCCACGAATTGGCATAAATCCTGACAGCGGATTAGGCTTGGACCCCCGTGACCTCTTCTCTAATTCAAGCTCCTTACCAGCCCATGGCCAATCCTGTGCCATCTGCTGTGCTTCAAGCCTGTCCCTGCGCAATGGTCAGTTGGTGGAGTTGCATAGCCTGCGTCCGTCTTAAAGTTGGTACCGCTGCAGCACACAACAGCCACTTCCGGCGCTGTACTGCTCTAAGACCAAAGGACTCCCTGAATAAACTCGGCCCCCGAAGCCTGCCAAGCTCAGGAACCCCCAAGGCAACCCCAAAAAGATCGAACTCTTCGCAGTCGAAGGAGGTTTGGCAACACTTGAGCATGCGGGCTCAAAGCATGTGACAATAGCCGGCCTGAAGCATCCCAAGCAACTCTTCTTCATCCCAAGTGCCGTGCATCTGACTTACCTGCTTGAGGAGGCTCTACCAGATTTATCACTCCAGAGGCGGTCGAGTCAAGCTAGGTTCTAGCTCCGGCTCCACCCTTTGTGTGCTACCCAGAAGCTCTCAATGGGAAGCTTCAAAACACCGGAACCCTGAAGGTCCACAAGTCATGCAGCGACGAGAAACGAGAAACCGCAATTGCCCAACCCCAAAACCTGCACTCTTCACTGCAGACCAGGGAACCTTTCGAAGGGCTCCCCCGATGTGCGTGCAGGGACTGCGGAGTCTCGTTGCAAAAGAAATGCCTGTACCCTGGGCCGCCGCGACTTCTACGGCTACTCTAAGCCTGCGCCCAGCCGAGCAAACAACCCCTGTGAAAGCCGACCCTAACTTTCATACACATCTTCCGACCAATCCAGCTCAAACCCAGCCACAAGGCCAAGCAGTTGTCCTTGTGTGGCTACAGTGTTGAGCAGCATAGCGGTTGAGGTATAGTAGTCGCGGTCTTGCGGCAGTAGCCGCCGGAGCATCAGCAGTCGCAGCACGAGGGGGCAAAGCTGTTCAAATTCCAATCTCGGATCGTTCTGGGCTACAAACACAGCTGAGCTTTGCAAGCTACAGCATTGCGAATCAACCTTCGCTGTCTGAGGCCGCCACTTCCCTACAGGTGGCTCGGTTCCTTCAGAGCCTCAAGGCGTTGAGGCGTGGGTTTTTGCGTTCTATGTGGTTCTGCGGCTTCCTGTGCATGGCCAAGTTTTTGAGTCCATGCGCTTGGTTCGAACCATGTGTTGTACCAGGTTACCCAATATTCACTCGTAGCACTGCCGCGCCATGCAAGAACTTGCCTATTTTCCCTGTCATGTGCAGGCCAATATCCATGGAGGAGCGGCATACATGCAACTGATACATCTGCGACAGCTGTCGTCTGCATTTCTCCAACAACAAAGGTCTGCAGTTTTACGCGCTATGGCAGTTCGCACTACTGCTCGAAACGAAGTAGGAGGTCAAACCAAACGTTCCGGTCTTGACAGACGTTTCAGGCTTTGATCCCAGGGCTCGTGCCGAGACCCGACGATGAATTCGAAAAAAGCTTCCACGCAACCTGCTGCAGGAATCTGGGCTGGCTTGGCCAGGTGGGGTGATTCAATGGTCTGACAAGTTCACGGCCATCACTACAATTGTTTGAGCACCCATCTCTCTGGCTTGCTTGCTTGCTTGCGGCTTCGGAGGAACATACCCGTGAGTACATCCCCCCTACGCGTGTGCGCGCAGCCGGAGTCCTCTCTCCCAAGAGTTTCAGCATTGTGCCGATCGCCCCGGCACCCATCTCTTCTTCAACACAGTACGCATGCACCTCCCTCCGCGCGCGAGCGCGCCCTGTTGGTTTCAAGTCCGTGTTGAGACTGCTCCATGAGGCTCGAGGCCGCGAACTTGCAAACCCCCGTTCTTACTAGTTGGCACCCCCTAGCTTTGGTAGAGAACGATCCCCCGGGCCTCGTCATCTAGGGAGCTTACCGGGCTCCGTTGCTCAAACTCGTGTTTCCGTAGTTTGGCAACGCCACCCATCTCTCTCTCTCTCTCTCTTGCTGTGGTTGGCTACGCCTGACCCAAGCCCTAAATCTGGCAAGCCCAATCTCCAATTGCTTTGCCTTCACCAGGCCAATGGGAATCAAAGCCGGCGTTCGAGGGGCTTGCAGATACAATCCGAACAGCAAAGGTTCTGTAAACCTCCGCGCTTCTCAAATCCGCTATGCCGCTATGCCCCAAGTTACAAGCAACGGCTCAGCCTACCGGGCTCAAAATCATCTGGTGCTTAGGGCTTTCAGAACAGTCCTGCGTGGCTTACACGCTCGTTTTTCTTATTATGCACACTGTGGAAGGTGTGCGGGTTCGTCGTTAAACCTCACTGCTAATTGCTTTCCCGGACAGCACTTGTAGTTACCACTGCCACAGCTGCTATCACGATTGCTCTGGATATCACCTCCTTGATCATGTGCAATTGTACACTTTTGTCGGTCGACATGCCCCCAGACGTCAAACTTCTGAAGGACGCAGCACAGAGACAATAATTTCAAGCCCCCCCAAACCCAAGCACCAGTCTTCGTGCGGGTTTGCAGCAAACCTGAAACCCCGCACCATACTTGACTCCCAAGATGCAGGAAAAGTCCTGGCTGCCTTCACGAATCGCTTGAGGGCATCGGAGGCGTCGGAGGCCTGGTGCCTCGCATGCCGAAAGAGGCACTTTGCTTATTCGAGGCGTGTGCTTGTGATGTTTGCCTATCACGGAGTCATGAGTCAGTTGCAGGAGGGCTTTATAACAGGTCTACATGGGCTTTCTCGGCCTCGGCATCTGTGTGCCGCATGGGGGTTGATTGGGCCGGATCGCGAGACTTCGTGGAGTCGCTCTGGCTTTCTCTGCAGGACCAGGTGGCAGCTCCCTCTATTAACGGTCACACAACCTTGCAGGACTTTGAAGCCGCGGAAAACGAAAAATATGCAGAAAGGCATATTCCGACTGACCGAAACGAGCTGCGTGCGCTTGTTCATGGCTCAGAGTTCAAGTGATCTACGGGCGGACACCTGCGTCTCCTCTGCTCACCCAGCGCTGACGGCATTCCCTCGGTGCAGCCAGTGCATGCAGCAGCTCTCGAATTTAGAACAATGTTGCTGTGGGGGAGGAGCCGTCCTGTTCTGGAGCTGGCGATTCGCATCTAACTAGCCGATGGTGCAGTCGGACGGTATCAACGACAAGTGCTGAAGCCTTGGGTCGGAGCAACTCCAAACGAATCTTGTCGGGTCCGGATTCATATTTCCTCGTTCTGAACTCGTTCTGAGGGCCTAGGCCTACAGTAGGGGGTCGTCGCTGCAGGCTCCAAGAACGATGCCCTCCAAAGCTTCACCAGACCCATCTCGTCACAGGACAGCCCATTGCCTGCTATTCAGCTCAGAGCCGCACGTCCCGCTGCGGCCCCAAGTCACCTCAGCGGTTCGTCTGCCTTGAAGGACTAAGCTAATTGAGGTGTCTCAGGGCGCATGTAACACCGCAGTGCTTCGCGAAGTTTGCGCCTCAAAGCGGATGTCACTCTGAACGTGCCGTAGCTCGATGAAGTTGAATTTGCAGTGGCTGAGCGGCATCACTGCACTAAGTGTGAGCTCTGACCACCTGAACACCTGCAGCATGTGTCAATCGTCCAGCACTCTCCCCGCACCCAGCGCGATTTATCCATCCCTCCGAAGCCGAAGCGAAGATCACGAAGATCACGAGACTCAGACTCTGGCCTGGAGCTGCCGGAAGTGGCCAAGTGCCGCCTTCGTCGGCCTCAGAGCTCCCATGGTCTTCTTGGCACATGCTCCGGGACAAGAGCCTAAGGGGTCCCTGCGGGATGGCCATGGACGATCCGAAAGGCATGAGATTTCTGGTAATCGGCCGTCGTGCCCAAAACTGCAAAACACCCGTGCGGGGCTGCGCGAGCTCGAAGCAAAGAAGCCGGTTACATCATACGAAAACCATGCACTATCATTGCAGGACTGTGTTGCCGTCAAGCAAGCTAATGTCCGCAAAGAGGCCTCTCCAAGTGAAGGGTTGAAGGACCTTCGACTCCATGCAAACACGGACGAGACAGAAAACAGCCAACCTTTGTCTTGACAGTGCAAACTCGCAAAAATGTGTACTCTGATTGGCTACAGCAGAATGCGCAACATCGAGAGTGTGGCTTCACGGTTGTGCATTCAAGCGGGCGATCTCGATGTTCACGTCCCTGTACTGCCATACGCCGACTGGACCCGTGACCAACTTCTAAAGCGTCATGTGTCAGAAATCGTGATCCCGACTTCAATAGCTCCTCTCGTACCAGCTCTGTTCAGCCCGGAGGCCCCAGGGCATCGATCCCTGCAATCCAGTATAGCCACGGCAGCCATGGCCAGGCACACCGGGCGAGCCGCATCCATCCGGCCCACAGGGGAGGTGCCAATCTCTTCTTTCGGCCTTTTCAGCGTCTTGAGTAAACGCCGGATTGAGGAGTGCCTTGATGATTTCTCATCCGATCATTCTCTTGCCTAGAATCAAACAACCATTGACACCAGTTCTATGAGTGTCAACTGCGCATCCCTGAAACAGCACTAGCACGCTGGCTTGCTCAGGAGGCATGCTGAAATGGCGGGTGAAGGTTGCTGCCAATATCAGCAAGAACACTGTCATCCTGGCTGCGTCTAGCGGTCTAGCGCTTCTCATGGCTTGAACCTTTGCTGGTTGAAGAAAAATCAGATCAAGAGCCGCCATGGCAACACGGCGCACGGCACTGATGTCACTGCGGGTGCCCTGAGTGGCCTAGCCCTGCCTCGTTTGTCCATGTTGTGGGCTCATCAGATGCTTCGGTTCGAAACAAAGGGCACCCAACACCCAATTATGGAGAAGTCTTCGAATCTGCAATGCTCGCAATGTCAGGATCTCATGTAACAAACTCTAGAACTGTAGAATGGTTCGAAAGGGAAGCCGGACCTGCCAGCGTGTCAGAAGTACAACGGGGCATAAATCCAGAATTAGCTACACCACGCTACAACCTAGCTTATCAGTATGCGGCGTACTGAAGGAGAAATCGTGACCTGCCTTGGAAGGCAAGCGCTTTCACGGCCTCTCGCGCGGATGTCAACCTCCGGTTATCGACTTCATGATGTTGTGATTAGGGTCCCTGATGTCGGTTGTTCTCTAGAGGGGGGGAGTCAAGCCATGTACTGGCGTGAAACAGCCAGTCTTTTGCTTCCGCAACCTGCTGCTTTCCGGAGTTTTTTATACATGCTTATCGCATGCCATGTCTCTGTAAGTCTATCTGTCCGCCGCCATGTCTATGGTGCACAGCCTGAACAGCCGCGTGCATATGTGCATAATGAAGGTATACACAAACATACACACATGCATGAATGCCTACCTACCTACCCCCCCTACCGGCTAGCTGGCTAGCCAGTCAGGCCGGCCGACCTACCCAATACATACGGACATACATACAGACATACATACAGACATACATACATACATACACACACACATGCGTATATTTAAAATGTCCATATACACACATACAGAAATCCATCCATCCATACATACATGCGTGCATAAATTCATAATCATTGCAAAGCATGCTTAGAGTTA